CAGTAGCAGAATCAGATAATCAGGAACTACAAGAAAGGCTTTTATCCCAAATATCTACAACTATCTTTAATAATGTGCCAGTGGAACAAAGCTTATCAAAATTCCAAGTAAACTACTTATTAAAATTGCAATGAGAACAAAAAACATTGAATTAAATAGCTTAGCTAAAGAAAAGTCTCAGATAACTCCAATAAAGGCTTTGATGATGGGGAAAAGAATAGGCAAAGAGGTTTTATATTCATGTTCTGAAATTAATCAAAATATAGATCAGTTGGAAACATATGAAAATTACTTTGATGCATTGCCTAATATTATCTATAGTTTCTTTCAAACTCTTCTTACAACACTCTATCAGAATAAAGTAAAAGTTGTTAATACTAAAAGGTTTCAATGTGGACTTTCACAAAAATTACTTAATACAAATCAAATATCAAAAACAACTGCTTTGATAACTTCTATTCTACTTATGATTGCCTTTTCTGGAACAAAAATTTGGCTTTTACATATTATATCTTCAATGTATCAAAAACCAAATTTATTACTATATCTATAAGAGATTCTTCGTTCAGCATCTATTATCTCATATACTAAATGGTATGAAAATCAACTTGAAAGATTCAGAACACTAAATGCAGATCCTAGAAAAAACTTAATTAAAGGGCCAAACATTTGGAATTTGGCAGTAATCGATAATATTGATTTCAAAGCCTCTACATTTTCATATAGAAATATTTTTGATATTACTAGAGGAACTTTTCATGCAACATTACAAATAGTTTTTCAATTTACTTTACCTGCCTCTTTCAATTTAAATAAAGATCAAGAGCTTGTTGCCCAACTGCTATTTGGAAAATCTTTAACTACAAATAATCTTTTAACAATATATGAAGTTATTTTTAATAAAATATTAGAAACTTATATAAACGACTTTGATATAGAAGATATACATTCAGAAATTGTTAAACAAATACCTATTAGCTGCAATATTTTACCCCCGAATGTTGTAATATTGAAACCTGGCAATCTACCTAATTGCAATGATAATGTTCACACAGCGTGGAAAATGTATTTTGATGATTTACTTAGCAGCATTAACAATAATCTATATATTGTGTGCGATCAAGCTATTTTTGAAAGATTAATTTTCTACAAAGAAACTCAGATGATGTTTGGCTTCTCTTGAAACAATGGCACACATCTAAAGATATGTGTTGTGCCTTAATTACAATATTTTCTGGATATGGAATATTTAATATTGCAGCAACTCTTGGAGTACAATATTTTGACAAATTTGAATATGTAATAGGTTACCGAGCAACATGTTATGTTTTGGAATTAATTTGGGTTGCAGTCAAGATTGCTCTATGTCATTATGTTAAAAATAAAAATAAAACTATGAATAATATTATGAGTGATAATAACAACTTAATTAAAGTATAGATTCTCTTTTTTTGCTAGACAGAATATTTTATAGATCACAAAATCAGAATTAAGAGAGGAAATTATAAAATACAAATGGCAAGCTTAGCTGCATTTGCACTGCTTTTTTCTGTAGCTGGCAAGTTTAAATATACAAGTTCTGTAGCACATTTTTTAGCTCAGGTTCATGATGATCTGCAGCTACAAAATATATTACAAGAAGTATACATTGTAAATCTCACAACTAAAGAACACTATTTTGCTTTCGATAAAGTGCTTGAAACATATGGTGTAAATTATATTAAACAAAACATTACTGGTAATCTTACCGATTAGCAGACTATGATATGAAAAATTGCAGCTATTCAAAATGAAAAAAACTGTTTATTGATACTTTATGCAGAATATATCGATGATATTGTGATAGCCCAAAATAATCATGCAATTTAGTCATGTAAAGATTCACTTTGGCTTCTAGTTACAGAATTATTAGCCACCTTCAATTGTTCATATCCTAAAACATATTTTCTGTTTGAAAATGTTTCAGAAATTAGTAGATAGGTATTCATAACATACTATCTCTCTATAAATCTGTGAATCCTGTTTCAAACAAGTACTTGCACAAAACATATACAAAACAGAGCCCGAGTATCCTTTGGATGTCATCTAGAAAGTATAAATAGTTATACTTATACCCAACTCAAAAATATGAAAAAACAAAAAAATAAAGTTACAGCAATACCTGCTCAACCATTGATCATTCAACAAGAAATTTTAACATCACAGCAGGTATCATCATCTGAACTTCCAAAATGGTTATATCATACTACTATGAAAAAAGAAAAAGTTATACTTTCCCAATTATTTGAACCTGGAAAACAATTAACTAAAGCTAAAATTGCAGATATTTTATTAGAGCTTGAAGCAGTTTCTTTAGACTGAGACGCTAAAAGAATTAAATATTATTATAACAATAACAAGCGCAAGAAGCTCTAGATAAAATAATATTAATATTTATTCATAAATAGAAAATTATATTTGAAATAAATATTATTTTTAATAAAAAAAATACTTATCTATTTAACAAAAAAGCACACTCTAAAGAATATCTAAATGTTATAAGTAAAGTGTCTTGACTTTAATAATCAAACTTATAGCATTGCTTATTTACTACTTTGACAAAAAAAGATCAGATTCTTAGATGCAGTATTTGGCTAAAAATCTTGACCTTTAGTTCAAAAAATTGCGAACTTTGTGTCTGATTTATTTTTTATATACTAAAATAAAAGTTTTTTTTTTATATATATAAAGAAAGCCTAAAACTTAAAAATTAATTTGTTTAAGATCTAAAATATTAATACTGGTTTGTCATTAAGAAATTTTTTAAAAAAGAGTATGATATTTCATATTATATAAAAAATTACTTAATGAAGATCATCAAAAAAGACATGTCCCATGACTGTTATAGAATTTTGCATTTAGGTATCTTGTTAAGTCTTGGAGAAATATGCTTCCAGTCAAGAAGACAGGAGTTATCAGTAGTAGTTAGTTGGTCAAGAAAGAGAATATGCTAATGCCTTAATTGTTTTTTAAAAGTAGTATAGTTAGGGTAAGATGCTAAGATAAATTTAAGAGTAACAGAGCTCTCTTGAATTGTGAATAGTATAGATATACAGGAGTTGAGATAAATTGTCCAGTTTAGAAGTTTAAAAAGTTGTATAATTTTAAAGTTGGTTATAGGTTTGTTGGAGCTATCGATAAAAGAATTAAGATTGTTTTTAAAGAATAAATCTAGTGCAATAGCTTTGCCAGGGTGTATAAATAGCTATGAATATAAGGCTTAAGATAGTTGCAAACTATAATAGCTGCTCCTTTCATAGAACTTTCAGAGTTAGCCTATTAGTATATATATAAGTTGTTGTTGCAAAAAAAAGTTAGATTCTGTTGGAGATCTTGGTTTCAGTAATGCTAGTGATTAAGATATTGTGAGTGATATAGTAATTCTGCCAAACTTGTCTTTTGGAGGCTATATTAAAGCCTCTAACATTGTGGGTAGCAATAGTAAGGTGTAAGTTATAAAAGTTAGATTGTGCAGGTTGTAATAGGCTACAAAATAGAGATATAGATTTTATAGAAGATTTGTAATAGATTAAGTTTTGTAAAGAAGAGAGTATAATATGGCTAGAAAGAATAGTATCAGAGATATCAAGATATATATAAGTTTTGAGAGTTATAATATTAACAAAAATTTTGTAAGGTTGGAAGAAATAGTTTTTAAGAAGGTGTTGAAGAAAAGACTTGAATGTTTGAAAGAATAGAAGTAAAGAAAGGTTGTGTTTGTTCAGAAATTAATTAAAGCATGTCTCTTCAATAAGATAGTATAAATTGGTAATTGAGGAAAGAAGAGTATCTTCTGCAAAATTGCTCACCATATACCTGGCTTTCACGGTTATGCAAGAGGCCAAAGTCTGCTCTATACATTAAGTCTAACTATCATATATTGGCTCTTCTATGTAAATAGGCTTATCTGCCTATCTACTTATATCATTCTCCTCTAAAAATAGCCCACTAGTTGTAGAGAACATCATAATTTTAGAGGCAGCAACTTCAGTTATGTGTTTTGCAGAAGACCAAATTAAAAAAATTGATTAGATAAGAGAGGTTGTGAGGTTTTGAAAAGTTGGAAGGTTGTAATAGTGTTTGTTGAAGTTGTTGAGTTAAGGTTGAAGTATTATAGGTATTAGCTAAGTCTTTTGATTTTGTGGAGTAAAAAAGAAAGTATTAGTATTACAAAGGTTACCAACACTCTGTAAACTACTTAATATTTACTATGAGTCTTTACTCACTTGGCTACTATATACAATAACTGAAGTATCATACCAGATACTACTACCAATATTGTAATCATACAGATAACAAGTTTATTTACTAAGAATTAAAGTTATTTTCACAAAAACCAAAGTTACAAATTCTAAAGTTAGACATTTTTCTTATTTAAATCAATGCCTTATATATTAATACTAATCACTAATAATTACTATATCATTCATGCAATTACTAATATTACTAATTGCTAATTACTATATTGTTTATGCAATCACTATTTTAGACTTTTAATTAAATTATAATTATGCTATTTATGCAAACCCCAATTATAGTGTTTAATCAACACATACGTACCTGATCATTAATCATATAGGTACTGCATAGCACTACAATGCAAGCTAAAACCCCAGTAACTTCATCTTTGAAGTTACAATAACTCAGTCCATCCCCCAAATTTTCCTATGTCCAAATGATTATCAAATACTGCTTTAATCAATTTCTCTGAATTACACCTAGCTATTTGTTTTAAATATAATTATTTGTAAATTTGATCTTTTTACTATTATATGATATAAAGTAACACCAATTCACTTTTTAATCCACAATCATTGCAACACTATACATCTTGGCTAATTGGTGTTCTGACTTTTGTTGCTATACAGTATTCCTAGTCTTATTATTCATAAACATCATATACTTTTTTGTCTAATGCTTCATAAGATCATTTAAGAATTTGCTATTATTTACAATTCTATTATCAGTTACAGCTCTACAATCTAAGCTAGATCCTTCAAATACAGTGTCTTCTTTATTATCATTGTTATTTTTGTACTTTTTGATCACATTATTGTTATTGCTTGCACCATTAATATCACATTTAGTTTTTGTCAATGATTCTAGTAAATTTCTTATTATCACATCTATTTTTGTAACTTTATCTAATAGTGCTTCTATTACTACAACTGGTTTATCTTGGTAATAATTTTCAACCTCAATCATTCTATTAGTATTATCTTTGTTAGCGAATTATTAAGAACTTTCTAATGTTTCTCACTTATTATTATCGATTTTTGCAAAATTAATTTCCTTAGCATACTTTTAATTATAAGTTAATATACTATATTCATCTATCTCAAATGATTTTTGATAATCAATAAATGCTTTATGTTCATCTTTTATGGTATCAGCTTCAACAGCTTTTGATTCTTTTAATTTATCTTTATTACTATAGAACTTCACAGGTAAGTTCTTAGAGTTTGTGTTTTTTATTTTATTTTATTTTATTTTTTTCTTTGATAACCACATACTAATTTATTAGATATTTGTTATTTATACAATAAACAATCTAACTACCTATTAGACTAATACCTGGCTGCTTATGAAGTGCCCAAGTATGGTTATCACACTGATGTTGGCTAACTGATCTCATATATGGTGCTACCCATATTTAAAGGCCTGCTATAACCAGGTGCTTAGTTACCTATAATTGAATTCTATATACTCTAATATTCATTTTGTCTACCAGCTTGGGGAAAGTGAATTTGTGATCTGCTGCTATATTGTTTCTTTTGCCATTTTATAAACTTTCTTCACACACTTCTTAACTCTTGACAGCCAGAACTTTTTTCTTTCTTTTTTTTCTTTGTCTAGAAGACTTTCTGTAATCTTGTATCTTTTATTGAGAGACATTCGTTTGCCCTGTTTTCTGTACTTAAACTTGAACTTGATGAGTGTATTTCTCCTAAAGCTTTTGTTCTTACATTCTACTCCGATGCATTCGAGGCCTTTCTGTCTTGCTTCCCTAGCTTGACTACTCTACTTATTTCCTTACTTTTTTCCTACACTGCAAATCTTTTACATCTTTCTCTCCATATTACTCTATAAAAGCACTCCTGTATAGTATAAGCCAGTGCTTCAAAACATTGTTGACTTGAGCTATGCTTTTTATTCATTTCATATAAACAAAGAAAGTCTGCCTTCCAAACCAAGCCTAGAGTAAATCTTTTTCTAGTGTCTTGTCTTGCTTGGTGTATATTGCCATATACAACTTCTTTGAGATCTGACAGTGTATATTCGAATCTTGTCTCCTTCTTGAGTATGGTCCAGGCTATTGCTAATACCTGCTTTTCAATTTTTGCCCAATTCACTGCTAAACTTTCATATTCAAGGAGATGATTCATATCTTCAATCTTATCTTTTTTGCACAATACACAATTTGCTAAGACATATATATACTCAGCATGAGGAGTACTCAGAAAAGACTTTTTAATCAAATAACTAGTTGATTACTGCTTATTAGTGACTTGCATCTTTGCCCTCTGAGTTCTAATAGCCTTTTCCAGCACAAGGACCACATTGTGTTATTTTTTGCTTCTATTTGTCATAATAGTTCAAGATTTTTTAACAAGTACTATTCACTTTCTATAAGTCTTCTTTTAACTCTAAGTATAAAACTACACAGTGGGTGTTCGATGCTCTTGTTTGACCAGGCTATATCAAAGTTCCAACATGACCAGAGTGTACTTGGCCATCTCTATGTTTTATCAAAAAAGGCCCCCTCTTTTGTGAAGCTATATACCTTTTCATTCTATCTCATACCTGAGTGAGCTTTCACTTTTACTAGTTCTAGCTTGATTCACTTAAATTGAACTGTCTCTATAATTTTGTCAAGTAGTGTTCTGTTTTTTTTTTTTTTAGACTTTTACTGAACTTTCTTTCTTTGAGTGCACTCTTTATTGCCAAAATTGCTACTATACTATCCGATTTAATCTTGATGTTGGTACTATTAATAGTGCATATAATATTGCTAATAGTTCTGGTCTTGTAGATGAGGGCCAATTGCTTACTCTTTCTTTGCCTTCGAACACTACTTCTTTTTCATCTATGGAAACCTTGATCCAACCTGCACTCATTTATCTTCTTTTTTATTATACTTATTTAGTAACCCAAGCTATCTGTATAGAATATGTATTTACTTCTTTTGTATTTGAGGTTAGTTCATATTCTATCAAGTAATAACACTGTGATATTTGCTATAAGGTTAAGATTCTTTATATACTCAATACTTTTTGCCTCTAACTCTTCTGTGCTTATAAATTGGCTCTCTGCTAAGTTACTTTTCTTCTTGAGGTAACTGTAGGTTTCTGGTGCAATTTTAATGAATATACTATTGTTGATTTTTTGATACATGTTCTACTTTTCTAGTACTTTGTCTTGCTTTAGTTCTAGTATACAGTTGTTCTCTTTGCCCTTCTTGTTATATTCACATTCTTGACAGTACTTTACCAGAGTACTACTTTTGGTTAGGCCAGATTCTACCCAATATTCAACTAGTATCTTGGAATGTTTCTTCTTTTGTATTTGGCCAAATAAAAGTTAATTCTTTTTTCCTTCAAACATGACCCAATCTCTTTTTCTTTTGTCTGGGTGAATATTAAGCAGTCTGGGAACAAGAGCTTCTTTATTTGTTTCCTGTAAGTGGAACTGTAGTTTTATCTTTCATTTTTCTACTATTTCTAAAACTGCTTTTTCAATGCCTATATACTAGTAGAGAATCTTACTATGACTATTAAAACCTCTAATTGTTCTAACTTGTTGCCATGTTAACAAGTTCTTGCCACTAGGATCGAGCAACTGATTGACATAGTATATACCTAGCTTTGCCTGTGCACTTCTACTTTTACTCTGTTGTCTAGTATCTAGCAGACTTGTAATTGTAAGTCCTGACCCTTGGATATACCAGCCCTCTTCTTCAGATCTAAATGTTATATCTATTTCTTTATATTGTTCAATTATATTTAATGTGATATTGTTCTTGTATGTTGAACATGTTTCATTAGCTCTCTCTTGCCAAATATTGTGCGTTATACAGTTTTTTAAAATTCTTTGCCTAATTTGCACTTTGGTTAGGCTTTCTATTATACTAAAGCCATTTAGTCTTATGAAAAGAGATATAGCCTGTTTTGCTAAAACAGTCTTTGTGAGCATTTTGATATCTAGTATACCTCCGTGTACTAATATATTATTTGGCACTGTCTGGACAATACCTAGCTTTCTTTTTATCAGATGTAAAAGGGTTGGTGAATTAAATATAATTTTTTTTTTGACAGAGCTACTATTTGTAAGATATAATTTAGCTTTGAGATTAGAACTTGATTGTTTATATATGCTAGTTGGCTTGCTGTGGTTTTCTTTCTCTCTAATTTATATGCAAACAAGCCCACAATCTGCTTTACTTTTTTTTTTATCTTGCTTATTTCTTTAGTGGTGTGAGGGAATGTGCCTAAAAAGTAGATTTGCTAAGCTTTTTAACTGCTTCTACTATGGCTTTACTATACTCTATTTGTCTTTCTTTTACTGGGAGTTTTGAGTTAAGTGCAATTAACTTGGACTTGTTATCATTGATTTCTATACTATTTAATTGAAAAAACTGTTCTGCCATTTGGATTATTTGCTCACACTATTCTTTGGAGCTAGCAATCCATGTTATGTCATCCATGTAGGCAAGAACTGCTTGTTTTATACTTTTTTGTTTCCTGGTTCCTAGCAGCTTTTCAAATTGCTTTGGAGTTTTGACTTTGTACCTGAACTCTTTGTTCTTTTATATTTGATCTAACAAGAGATCATAGAAGATTCTTCATAGTAGAGGAGAAATAGGCTCTTCTTGATCAATAACATCTTCTTGCCGAAGCTTCTTGTGATAATCTAAATGCCATTATAATCTTTAGCTTCCTATTTGTGAACAGGTTTAGTATGAATTTGCAGCATCTGTTTGGAGCTTTAATTCTCTTTAAGGCTCTTTTTAGCATGCTTAGGTTTACTAAATCAAATGCTTTTCTCATATCTTGAAACAGTAACCAGATTTCTCGCTTGCTTTCTTCTGCTTCTTTAATAAGCATCTTCAATATGTGAGCTGGCTCTTTAGTAGAGTTGCTAGGCAACCCTGCAAAGTTGGAACCATGGAGGATATCTTTTTCTTTAATAACTTTACTTAGTCTCTTTGTTAATATCTTTGTCACACATTTTCTAAATACTTCTATTAATGCGATTGGTCTAACTTTATCTAGGTTAAATTTTCAATTCTGCCCTTTTGGTATTGGGCAGATTTGTATCATTTTCTATTTAATTAAAATATTGCCAACTCATAGACATAGTTCTGCAAAGTTTTTAAAGACTTGTTAAGATTTTGTATCTGAATGTTTCAATAGAGGGTATTAGATTGTTGATATTCCTGGGGCTGAGTTAGCTTTACTTTCTCTTAACATTGCTTGTCACTCCTCTAATGCGATTGGTTGCATTACCAGATCGAACCAGAAATCTTGGATTCTTTCTTTAGGTTGATACTCATTGTACCAAATTTTCTCAGTCTCTGTATGGCTATTTTTTTTGCTTATGAATTGCTTTTAAAAGTGGGCTTGCACTTCTTTCAAGACATCTACAGAATTATTTAATAATGTTTCTTGGTCTTGATTTTGTGATAATACTCTATCCAAGACTACTTTGTGAAATAGCCATTCCATAAGGCTGGTTAGCATTTTCTTTTGGTCTTTTACAATTTGTTTTGCTCTTCTTTGAATATATACTTGTATTTCTTTTTTCTTTTCCTGCTCGCTACTTGCTATTAACTTGCCTTCGATTGCTTTCTACTATATAAGTGCATCTGCCTGCTATACACCATCTTTTAATAGTTTGATGTTATTGATGTTGCTATCTGCTAATGAGTTTATTTGCTTGATTCTTCTATTCCACTCTGCAGTTTTTTTTTGTAACTTAATACTATTTACTACTTGAGTCTCTTTAATTAACTTGCCTAGCAGGTAAGCTGCCTTTATAAATCTGCTTTTTTTGGCTTTTTTATTTACTCTTTTCCCAAAATCTACTATCTTGTTTGGTAGATTGTATTGATCTGCTAGTAGAATTGCACTCTCTAAGAACTCCCATAATTCATCATAATCTGCTTCTAATTTTTCTAGTGTAGGAGGGTCTGAAGGTAATATTTCTTTTTAAGAACTTTTAGTTATTTGATGTTTAGCCTACCCCAAAGACTTGTTCAATAATTGTTCCAATTTTCTTTTATAGCTAAATCAAGCTTTCACACACTTTGCTTCATACTTGGTAAATTTTTGGTTAAGTGTTTACTTGAATGTGTTGGCAGATACTATTTAATTTTTGCAAATGCTAAGTTATGATCACTCCCTGCGATTCCTAATATATACTCAATATTAGCTTTTTGTGTTATTTTGACTATATCTCGGAATACCTATATTTAATCTATTCTTGTTGCTACTATATTATTGCTCCATGTAAACTTTTTTTCGTGGAGATTAAGCAATCTGTATATATCAACAAAATTGTATTCCTTAAACCATCTATACAATGCTAGTTTTCTATAGCTCTCCACTTACGATGATTTGTCTAATACTAGATCTACCATATGATTAAAGTCTACTATTTTAATTAGAGATCTCTATCTTGTGATTTACTTATTTTGTCTCGAACTAACATATCTATCTTTTTTATCATCTCTGTATCATTTGGAGGGATATAAACCAGAATTACTACTAACTTGTAGATCTTAAAATAAAAGTATACTATTAATATATATTCATTCAGCTTCTCTATTCTGCCAATATGCTTTTCTAAATTCTCTCAGACTAGGAGATTAATACCAAAGCCTTTCTTTTTAGATTTTGAGCCGATCGACCATATTTCTTTGAAATTACTATTGCTTTTTAGTACAAACTCTGCTTCATGCTCTTGCAAGTTTGTCTCTGTAACCCTAATTATATTGTACTCTTTTTTTTTGCCCATTTTAACAGAAGTTCTATCCTATGATTATGCATCTTAAGCCTATTAATGTTGTGTATTGCTAGGTTGATTTGCTTAGCCAGTTCTGAATTTCTTGTTGGTACCAACTGTGTCCAAACCTGGCTGCCATTCAGGGTACCTATAATTGGTGTGGTATTTGTGGCATCTCTTAGAAGCATATAGAGACTTTGTCACCATTTTGGCAATCTTCGAGTGATTCTAGTTTCTTAAAAATTTCCTGCAACAAGTCAACTTGATCTGATTTTTTTTTACTCTTTCTGCCACAAATCTTTTTGGTTCTTGGTTGATATTTGGTCTTTTGCCCTTCTATTGCTCATTAATTGATTGAATATTCTTTCTCATAAACTTGCATTTTAGTTTATTCATGCTCTCTTCAAATGGCTTTACTGAACTCCTGGATTGAAGATCTACATTTTCTTTGTTTGGAGCTAGATTTTCCTCAATCAATCTTGGTCTCAGATCTCTGTACATGTTGATATCCTGTTCAAAGGTTTCTTTAGCTTTTTTGCTTTTTATATTAGTTTGTCGAGAGAGTCTACTTGAGTTTATTCAGGTCTTTTAGTACTATATGGATGTTGTATACTCATGCAGCTATTGTTTTTTGCCTCTCTACTATGTGATCTCTACTCTAATTTTGTATTAAAATAGTATAATGTTGACTTCTAAGCTTGTAACAGATCCTGCTCTGACTTAAAATACAATTGTGCTCTTTTGCTTTGGTTGCTGTTTTGGTTATTTAGTGTATATACTGCTTGTACTCTGTACTTTTTTAGCTAATGGAGTAAATGGCTATTATAGGCTGTTGATAGTATGTTATAAATAATAGTCTTGTATTTGTTTCGCTCTTCTAGGAGTCTAATATCAAATTTGCCTGGTGTCACTCTATATATCTTGCCTTGGTCCAGATGTACTGACCAATTTTCTCTTAATGAGGTTTCTCATTCCTCAGTAAATATTGTAACTTTAATAAAAGCTGCCTTGCTTGCAAAGTTATATTACTAGGCAAGAATGGATGCTATATTAAAATACTTAAGAAATTTTTTTATTTCTGCTACGCTTGTATCTCTCAGAAGATCCCAGAGTGTAAAAAAATAGGAAGATTCATTTATGTATTCCTTTAAGATAAAATCTCCCTTGGGTGCCTATGCTGAGTTAAATATGTCTTCATACTTTTTAACTTTTTTACTGTTTTTGCTCTTTGTACTGCTATGATTGTTTGTTGAGAGAGGTTTAACAGACTATAATCTAGTATGCCAACTTCATTTTGTATTAGTATACTTTGACTAGTCTCAGGCTCATTGTTAGTTGAAGTATTTGTTTTGTCATGTTTTATTAGGCATTTTTTATGAGCAGAATTTTTAGTATCAATTGGTATACTTTTCTCATAGTTGTTTGATAGAGTGATTGGCTTAACAGAAATAATGTCTATCAGAATAGAGTTATTCCTGTCAGGTTCTTCTTGATTATCATTTGCAGAGACCATACTTCCTAGCAAGGTTTTCTTCTTATCTAGAATAGATTCGTGCTTGAACTCTTTACTCTTTGCCCATTTATATCTTTCGATAACTATGCGAATAATTGCAATAAGGCAGACATTATTCACTTCAAGGTACACTGTTTCAAATTTGTCTTGTTTTAGCATTGTTAGCTCTTGTTTGCTATAAAGTACAAGTTTCTCCTCTTTTGATTTAGAGAAAAAATTTTTATATTCTATGAGTGGTGGCATTCTTATTTGCATGAGACTTGTAGTTATGTTGCTAGGTATTTGTTTACTTTAATCGCAGGCATGTTATATAATTGTTTGTTGTTTTTAGTGATCTACATTACAAAGTCAAAGCCAATTCCCCAAAAATCAATTTTGTAGAGAAAAAATTTTTCCAAAAAGCAGTTTTCTAGCTATATGTTTTTAAAGAGTTGATAGACAAACTAGAAGTACTAGTAAACTTCAGTTGATTTTTCTTGATGTGTCTTTTCTCTTAGTTGTTAAAGTATTGTTAGATAGTGTATTTTACTATTTTTTAACCATTTGTCTTTAGCTTAATTTTGGTATGAAGATCTGCAGGAGAAAGTTTTTTTTGGATTTCGTTTGTGTCTTTTATCTGAATTGACTTCTTTTTATTTGACTTATTAACAATCTTATTTTTTTTCTTATCATTATTTTCTATCAATTCATCTTTAACATATCTAATATTCACAAATTTGTTTTTTCTTCAATCATTATTCTTTATTATATTACCTTTATCAACAACATTTTCATCAATAATTAGTTCTTCCAAAATTACAAATATCATTTTCCTAACCAGATTAGATTGTATAACAATATTTTTCATTCTTCAACTCAAATCTTATCTTGTATTCACAACCCATAGTATACCAAGAACTATATTAGAAGCAGATTATGATGAATTATGGGAGTTCTTAGAGAGTGCAATTCTACTAGCAGATCAATACAATCTACCAA